CCGGGCAGATTCATATGGGAGAAGACGGCCTTTCAGATACCCCGGACCCAACCCGCTTAGGGATTTATAGGTCATAACCAAAACCTTAAATTGTGCTCAGAAACATACCGGTAGTCAGTGCAGCTGCCGGAGCACTGGGATAATGTGCTCCATATAACGGGTAGAACAACAGTGCCTCCGATACCCAACTCCGCCAGGCATTTGTAGCCAGACAGAAACCCTTCCCCCCCCCGACATCCTTGGGAGAGAGAATCCTTGAGAGCGAAACTCTGTCTTCAAAGGCTCCAGGGCCTCCAGAGGTGCTGGAATAACTATGGCCCTGGATGCTAGACAGAAACCAGATAATAGCAGCAATTGGGCCAGCAGACGATTGGGGCCTTGGGCTACCTATGACTGGTACCAGTATTATTACGCCTACTCACCGTCCCAGAAGAGGAATCTGCCGCCCCATCAGAAAAAGGATGTCTGGCCCTAATGATTTAGTTACCTCCACCTCACAGGTACAAATTAAGCTTCGGACACCCTGTGGGAATGGGCGTCACAAAGACGTTCCAACTTAATTGGCATTTTAATGACAAGAGAAGCGTCTACGTGACCACAGGGGTATAAAGTAGGGCCCTGTGCCCCACTCTAATTGGAGATCCACCCACATACCTGTTGGTCAGGCGGTCTTGGACCCCCGAGACTTTAGGGACACCTTAGTCTCATACTGACTGCTTCTCATTGGGATTGAGAGGAACCTGGCTTCGCCGGAGTAAGGATCGCAGGGGTGAGAATATACCTGTCTATTTTGCATGCATTTAAATAAGAGATCAGAGAACCAAAAGGGTTTCATGGTACCTGTAAGTGACTTTTTAGTGTAATTTCTGTCTCGTCCTTTTTGTAGTGGCTGGGTTATCTGTAACACAGCAGTAACATTTAACAGCTAAGTTTGCCTTGTAACAATAAAACAGTAACTGTTTAAGCTTTAACCTGACTCCTCCTGTTGCTGTAATGGAACCAGACACAATTAAAAGGATCACAGTCGGTCAGTAAGAGCTGAGCATTGGGTTGTGCCGCCTCCACGGGGCAAAACTTTGGGGCGTCCGTCAGCCTTTCGGCTGCCTGCTGCAAAGGTACCCCGGTCCTAGCAGTTGAAGACTCGGGTGTATAACACACACACAGCACGCACTGCCCTGACCACCGGCTGACAGCATTCCAGAAAGACACCATGGTCGATGGTACCAAAAGCCGCTGAGAGGTCCAAGAGAATCAACAAGGATGCACTCCCACTGTCTATCTCCTGGCGTAGGTCGTCTATCAGGGCAACCAGGATAGTTTCAGTTCCAAAACCTGGCCTAAAACCAGACTTAAATGGATCTAAATAATCTGTTTCTTCCAAAAAAGCTTGGAGTTGCAACGCCACCACCTGCTCGAGTATCTTGCCCAAGAACGGAATATTAGCAACTGAGCGATAGTTATTTAAATCATGTGGGTCCAGGGAAGGCTTCTTGAGTAACAGTTTTATCACTACCTCTTTCAGGGCGGCAGGAACCATACCAGATCTAAAGGATGCATTAACAATCCCCTGGACCCAGCCAATCATCCCTTCCCAGCTAGATTTAATAATCCACGAAGGCCAGGGGTCGAGCGAGCACATGATGGGTCGCACTCTTCCAGGCACCTTGTCCACATCCTCAGTATGCAACAGCTGAAACTGTTCCAAAGAAAAAGAACTGGGCAGTGCGCTCAACACATTCTGTGCCCCACTTACATAGCAGCCAGAGTCCAAATCAGACCGAATGCGAGTGATCTTATCTGCAAAGTACTTCGCAAATCACAGTGGGGAGCCAAGAGCTCCTCCATTTCATCATGAGTATCCGACTGTAACAAGCCCCACATCACTCAAAACAGTTCCGCTGGGCGGCATTATGCGGATGCGATATGGGCGAAAAATTAGCTTTTCTTCGCTGTCAGTACTGCTACAGAGGAAGCTCACAATTCAGCCCACAATCCATCAGACTCAGCTCTAATTCTCAGAAGGAGCAGACCCAGCTGCTTGGTATCATCTGCAAACTTAATAAGAGTACTCTCTATGCCAATATCTAAATCGTTGATGAAGATATTGAATAGAACCGGTCCCAAACCAGACCCCTGCGGAACCCCACTTGTTATGCCCTTCCAGCAGGATTGTGAACCATTAATAACTACTCTCTGAGAATGGTTATCCAGCCAGTTATGCACTCACCTTATAGTAATCCCATCTAAGTTGTATTTGCCTAATTTATTGATAAGAATATCATGCGAAACCGTATCAAATGCCTTACCATAGTCTAGGTATACGACATCCACCACTTCTCCCTTATCAACAAGACTCGTTATCCTATCAAAGAAAGCTATCCGATTTGTTTGACATGATTTGTTCTTTACAAATCCATGCTGGCTTCTCCCTATCGCTTTATTATCTTCCAGGTATTTGCAGATGAATTCCTTAATTACTTGCTCCATTATCTTCCCTGGCACAGAAGTTAAACTGACTGGTCTGTAATTTCCTGGGTTGTATGTATTGCTCATATTTGTTCCAATTAGGTGTGTGCACCAGGTGCACAACTAGCTGCTACCCGCTGACCCTGCCGACCTGGCCCTTCCTTTGTTCCTTCTTGTCGGCTACAGAGGAGAAGGATGGATGAGTATGGAATAAACCTCGAAGAACAATAGCTATAAAGGGAACCACTTTTCATTCTTGCTTATTCATACATACTCCAATTAGGTGACTCACAAGCCAATATCCAGGAGGATAGGGTTGGAGCTACAGTACCAGTCCTGTTGTGACTGGTGCTTGATAGCTTGTAAGGTGAAGGTATGCACAGATGACCACGTTGTGGCTCTGCAGATTTCCTGGATGGGTGCAGGAGCCAGGAATAATGCTGACAAGGCTTGCGCATGGGTAGAGTGCGCAGTAAGCAGAGGTGGAGGGACCTTAACCAGGTCACAAGAGTGGACGCATGCAGTAATTCAAGACTAAATGTGCTGCAACGAGAGCGCCTGTCCCTTCATCCGATCCACCACTGCCAAGAACAGCTGTGAAGTCTTACGGAAGGGCTTGGCCTGTTCAGTGCATAAGGCCAGTGCACATCTCATGTCAAGGGTGCACGAGCATGGTTCCCTAGAGCTCTGATGAGGCTCAGGGTAGAAAGAAAGATATTCTGCCTGGTGTGGAAACTGGAATCCACCTTTTGGAGGAAAGTCGGGTGAAGCGAAGCTGTAGTTTATTCTTATGAAAAATAATATATGTGGGTTCTGATGTTAGGGCTTTGAGTCTGGAGACTCTGCGGACGGAGGTGATGGACACCAGGAAGACCTCCTTCCAGAACAAATAAAGAAGAGTACATGGCTAGTGGCTCGAATGGTGGGCCCATCAGGGCAGACAGGACAAGGATGAGGTTCCAGATAGGGGCAAGGTGGCAGACTTGAGAGCGGAGCCTGTTTTTACCCTTGAGAAAGTGCCCTCCCACAGGCCTTCAAAAAACCAACCAACCAGCTTCTCTGGAATGGAAGGCGGACATGGCCACAAAGCAACAACGTCGAACCTTGCTGCTTCAGGGATACCATGTAATCCAGCACCTGAGGGACAGAGGTAGATAAAGGATGGAGGTTGCACTGCAGACACCAGCACAAGAAGTGTTTCCATGTTGCCAGGTAGGTACGCCTGGTAGACTATTTTCAACTACTAAGGAGAGCCTTCTGAACTCACTCTTGAGTAGGTGCACTCTGCAGGGGTTAGCCATGCCGCAAGATAGAGCGAGCACAGGTACGAGTGACAAAGGCAACCATAGTCATGCGTGAGGAGGTGTAGGAGCAGTGGGAGTGACATCGGGTGCTGCACCAAGAGCTCGAAGAGTGTGATTCCAGTGCTGATGGGCTCGAGCCAGGGCCAGGGCCACGGGTGGCTGCCCTGCTGCCCCACACCAGAGCAGCTGAACAGCCACTGCATGGCTCTGCTGGGGAGGTGGGTGGGCCTCAAATTCTTGATGTGTGCCCATGCAGGCATGTGCCTTTGAGAGAACACTGGTCACAGAATTATACAACAACTTCAGGGTAAAATCTAATGTAACTACACTACATTTATCAACTAACTGAAGTCACAACTACTAGTTTCTAAAAGTGAATTCTTGATATTTAATAATTAAAATAATTTTTAAAGAAACCTCTGTATTCCAAAGAAGAAAAGGGCTTCTTTCCATTGATGTAATGAATAGTGACTCAGATTTCTTACACGAGCGCACCTACACAATACATCACTACTTTCATCTGCCCTCCCACACGCTTCGCTTCTGTGCGCAGACCAGCATTTCAAGGACAGTTTATTGTCACAGTTACGATGTCAGTTCTGCAATGAAGACCAGAAAAAAATGACAAGCCTATCGGATGATGATTGTCACAGAGAGACCATTAGTAACACTCTGCAGTTCTAAAATAAATCTCTCACAGATGGCTTGACCGTGAACACTCACTAGGAGTCCCCATACCAGCAGTCACTCTATTACAACTGCAAACAGCGAAATATGAGAGTTCACAAAATCTCAGCAGGCGCCACTGCTCTCTGGCCAGCAAGCTCTGGAGGCAGCGCAGAAATATCGGGTGCTCTGGGGCTGGAGTATCCAGAAGGAAAACTAGTGGGTACTTAGTACCCACTGGCAGCCAATCTCCTCCCCACCTTCCAGCACCTCTCACCCACCAGCAGCCCCACTGATCTCCTCCTCGTCCTGCTGCCATGAAACAGCTGTCTAGCAGTGTTTGGTACATTCCAGGAAAGAAAGAGAGGGGTGAGAACATGGCATGCTCGGGGAAAGGGGGAGGAAAGAGGCAGAGTAGGGGCTGGAGTGGGGACAGGAAGAGGCAAGGTAGGGGCAGGGCTTGGGGCACAGGGGTCAAGTACCCCCTGGCTAGAGAAGTCTGTGCCTACTTCCTCACTGGATATATATTGTTCTTCTAAGTGGTATTCATTGTCTTTTCAGAGCTCCTCAGCCTAAGATTATTACTTTGGAGAAAGGCTCTGATGGCCTGGGTTTTAGTATTGTAGGGGGATATGGAAGTCCCCATGGAGACCTGCCCATTTATGTCAAGACTATATTTGCCAAGGTATCTTTTTTTTTTCCTTTTTATATACATCTTAAAAAAAGCCAAGGTTAGGAACAGATAACAAGCCAAATGTAAAAGAGTTGTGTCCAAAACTCAGTGTCTGGGTATGCATGCATTGATCTTCACTGCCTGGACACAAAGGTCACTGTCAGCTAGCAAGGATTAGGGAAAAGCTGCTACAGGCAGTCCCCGGGTTACATACAAGATAGGGACTGTAGGTTTTTTCTTAAGTTGAATTTGTACTTAAGTCGGACCTGGCGTCCAGATCCAGCCGCTGCTAAAACTGACCAGCGGCTGACTACAGGAAGCCCGAGGCAGAGTTTCTCTGCCCTGGGCTTCCTGGAATCAGCCGCTGATCAGTTTCAACAGCAGCTGAATCTGGACGCCTGGGACAGAGCAGCTGGGGCGCTGCCAGGTAGATC